TCTCGAATTCGGCCTCCTCTTCTTCATCTATATTGATACAGTTCAATCTTCCAGGTTTACACTGGTGTCCTATCCCAAATTTGTCCCCACACCTGTAGCACAAGTTGTTTTTACGCCTATACTGTATTTCCTCAGCTGAGATCTTACTCACTTCCTGGGATCTAGTGTCACCCTTTCTGATATTTGGATCAATAACTGGAAGTTTATAAGTGCTTGGATTGTTTTGGCTATTTCCATGGTTCCTGTACATCCCATACTTAGGTTCCACTGCAGTCCTTCCTGAGTTTTTATGCTGCTTGGATAATGTATCCAAAGAGCACTCCTGCATTTCAGCAACCTCAAAGGCCTTGGATAGGGTCTTTGGCTTGAACATTTTGACCATAGGTTTAATCTCATTCTTAAGACCACTAATGAAGCTGGATATAAAGTATCCTTCATCTAATCTAGGATTTCTAATCAGCATGAGAGTTTTTAATTCCTTAAACTTTTCTTCATACTTCTCTACTGTCCTTTTTTGTTGTAATTTATTGAATTCCTCAACTACATCACGTGACCACTTCACGGCTAACCTTTCACACAAAAGTTCACAAAATTCTGACCAAGTCAACCACGGTCTTTCCAATCTCACTCCCTGGAACCAAATGTCCGCTCGCCCCTCCAAGAACATCTCCACCATGTCTACCCTTTGATACTCAGGTATTTGATAATTCAGAAAATATTTTTGACATTTCCTTAACCATTCTCTAGGATTACCAGATGCGAATATAGGCATTTCACGTCGCGGCATGCTAGGGGTAAAAGCCTTACCTCTAACCTCAGGCTGGACTCCATGCACTTCCGTGGAAGTCATGAGCTTCAAATGCGGCGGAGGAGTAGGCAAGATTGGCTCCGATGACCCAGCTTCCGCTTCTGGCATGCTTTTTTCTTTCATCATCACCTTCAGTAGCGCATCGAACTTCATCTCCATCTTACTGAACCTCTCGTCCAAATTCCCTACCATCGCCTCTACCCTCGCGTTGTTCTGCGCCAGTTCTTCCTGGAACTTCTGCTGCAAGTTATTTTGGCCGGAATTCTGAGCTGCGGCTAGAGTCTCCAGTACTTCTTGCAGTCGTGTTTCCTGTTTCTTGATTTGATCTTCCAGAGAACGGTACCGAGTGTTTTCCGCCATTGGAGGTGTCTCAAGCAGCCAAGGATCGGCTGCTCTGATACCAAATGTCGGGCTAGGGCTCCTGAACTAGATGCAGGGAATAGCGAAGCTGGGGAAAGAATTTGGGGAAGGAGAAGGAATTGAGAGAAAGAGGAATGAGACAAGAGAGAGAGAGTAACCGATAAGAGAGAGAAAGTAATCTTTGTATTATTCCAGATATTTTTGTAATCTCCAAGTAATGGAATCTTTATACAATTCTATTATTCTATTATCTTCTCCAACGAACTAATAATACTCCTAACTAACTGAATTAGTGCAACTGCATCGTTTAAGCCATCCTGCCCACAAGTCTCCAAAACGCACAGCAATTGTCACCAAACGACACCCTTAATTCCTTAAGGGCCTGACACAACCCTTTATCTACATATCCTATCCAAGATTTTCTAAAATATTTTCGGAGGCAGTTTAATTGCTTCTGAATTCTCAAATAACTTAGCTTAGTCTACCTCCATCACCCCCCTCCCAAAGTATAGGACACTTACTTGAATCCGCCCTTATCCCCGTACCTCCTTCCCCCAATATAGAATTAGTTGTAAAAGTGTTGCATCTAAAGTATTAGTTGGACATCTAAAGTATCTAACTAGCTTCCTGTTCAAATTACAAGTTTTAAGTCCAATTTTCTAAATTACTCTCTTCTATCTTTTATCGTAGACATCCAAAAGCTTGATTATTCTAAATTACTCTCTCTTCTATCTGTTTAAGTCTCTCTCATGAGCTTGTGCTAAATTTCCTTAACAAATGAAATCCAATTTTTTGAGGATAGCTTCCTTTTTCGAAGGTTAATCTTTTACTTCCTCTATTTAAACTACGTTTGTATGGCTAAAATTTTAGAAAGCGTTCTCAAAGACCAAAAATTGAGGCTTACAATTCCTATAAGCATACCCTTTATTACATAACACAAAAAAAAGGTAATCTCCTGTATTTCTTGCATTCTGGACGTCAACATAGACAAAATTTTGTGTGAATACAGGAATTTGTTTTATGGAAAATCCCTTGAAATCTATAGGTTAACTTTTATTTGAATATATAAATTAGTTTTATCGAAAGTCCCAAAATAGAACTAGAGCGACCCACGATCAAAACTCTAAAATAGATAAGTTCTAACAAGAATCTAAACCCAGCCGCACATACAGGGACAAAGGTATAAATTTCAAATAAACAACAAGTATTAAAATTGATATATCTATACATAGCCTACTACTTCTAGACGGAATAAGAAACCAGAAAACAACTAAAAACAGAAAAATGTGCTGAAACTACTGCCAATTGAACTAGACATTGGTCCTGTCATTGGGTTGGTTTGCACCCCGAGTGAAGTCTGATGCCTGACTTTGGTTCTGCGGATTCCGATAGATTAGTCATGCCTTCTTTTCCTCGATCCAACTCCATTCACATACTCTGTTGCCGACAGAATTTATATTTAAAATGGTCAAAAAATCATTAAATTATACATTTTTAATTATTCAAGAACTAACTGGAGATAAAAAATAGATCAGGAGCCAAAAGTAGACAGCGATGACAGTTTAGGGCTCCCCAGATTTTTTACTAAAAAATTTAGTAATTCATTTGGCACCAATAGACTCGTAAAATTTGTCTTTTATAATTATGTTATGATCATTAATGCAACTATTATTTTGTCTTATATAGTAGTTTTTTTTAATCCATTTTAGGGTGTTGTACTAATTTTATACATTACAAGAACCATTTCCTCCCCGCATGCATTTCAAGTAGACGTTGCTCATTTGCTTATGATACTGAGTGAAAAATGGGAGAATTGTGAGCTGCTTTGGCCGTTAGATGCTCCGGTGGCCCTCCATGGAAAAGAGCCATGCTCCTTGAGGAGATTTTACTGATATGCTATGCACCTTCTCTCTTTCCTCGATCGGTTTGCAGCCTACCAGATTGTTGGGGAGAAAATTTTAAAAAAATCCGGTACTCTTTAGAGTTGTAGAATGTTGAGGAGCTTGTTGACTTGGATGATTCAATCATGACTAGATCCTGGAATCAAGAGTATATGTCACCCAGAAGAAGATTAAAAGGAAAAAAAATGATCAAGAATATGCAGGGAAGCAGCTGATGCTATGGGTTTCTTTTCAAGCAGCCGCTGCATCAACTTTCTATACAAATCGCAACTATTTTGTGAACTAAAACGCTCAAGACAAGTCCTGCACTTTTGAATTTGAAGACATGGGCTTCAACTCCTGAACTGATAAGGATGATCCTTCAGAACATTCTTAACTTTAGTATTTAGTGATCTTAAAAGATTGGAATATAACGTATTCCACATCATCCAAGATAAACAAAATGGTAGTATTGAATTGAACTCAAGTTCAGTTATATTTTATAGTTCCGTTTTTTACAACTGAAGGCTATTTTACCAAATAACGATATAAGATAGTGAATTGTTCCATGCAATGTGAAATTAATTGTGCACACGCCGTAGACACCACTTCACAGGTTGTACAAACTAAGTGAAATAATGCAATTCTTAATTCAGTTTGGGTAACCGATGCCTACAAACACTCTTTACTAGGGGTTTCAGATGTTAGTAGTATTTTTTGTAACGGTTTGTCTTGTGTACTTTAGGTGCTAGATTTTTGGAAAGGTAAGAATAATTACTGAAACTGTATAAATGCAAGGGGTAGGTAGTGATTGTTAGCAAATGTGCATGTATGGTAGGTTATATGGAATTAAAATGTCTTAATGAGTATCTATTGAACGCTTGTTAAATAAATTTTTTTGAAAAAGTTTAATTAATTCAGAAACGTGTAAGGATGCATTAATCGCGGCTGTCTGTATTACCATGGTAAGTTAAGTATGATTTAAGTGTATATTACCAATTGTTCATTGAGCACTTGTTGGAAAAATTATTCTCACATACTATTTCGCGTATTCCACATAATTCATGAGATATTGTGTGCTAGTACCAAATCAATTCTGCAATTTATTTTGGAAAAGATTTTATTGGCTAATCGAGGCTAGAGATGCAATTCAATCGAGCAGCTTGACTCGAACTCGTGAGTAGTTCAATCAACTGCTTGACTTGGGCTTGGTCAATTGCGAGTTCGAGGTACTCGACTAAAGTTTCGAGTCAAGCTCGAATATGTATATCATATACTCGAGAGCTCATTGAATTCTACCGAGTACTCGGTGTCACATTTAATTAATATATTATAAATAATTAAATTATCTTTTTAGGTTAATTATTTGCAATATTTATGACCCTAACAATTTCTTGAGCTCGAGTACTCGACCTTGATATCGAGTTTGCCAATTTCTTGAGCTCGATTGAGTCGAGTTTGAGACTTTCTAATTTTACGTCGAGTCGAGCTCGAACTTTGTTCAAACAACTTGCTAGCTCGAGTTTGAGTACTGTTACTAGACATTGAATTTAAGCTTGAGTATAGCGATACTTGAAATTAATTCGACTCCCTAATTGAGGCAATAGATTGCTCGACTGAAACCAACAATTTCCCAAATTTAAGAGGAAATATTTACAATTGCTATATATTTATATTTTGTACAAATGATTCACCATATTAGTTTTACCATCTTCTAATTTGTAAAAAACTTTACAAATTATGGAGGAAGAATTAATCTACAAAGACTACAATTGTTCCTACCCTCTCTACCTCAAAACTAGCACTATAACAATTGAAACAGTGATCCTTCAAAGCAGAGGCCCCGGGGGTGGGGAGGAGGAAACAGACTTTCCAAAAAGATACCCCCAAATTTTACATAAATTTTAAAGAGACCCGAACCGTTTTAATCATACATGGGTCTACCCCTTCAATAGACACACATGCCGGCTTCCCCAAAATATCAACTACTACAGTTCTCGAATAGCTTCAGTCCCCAGCAAAAACATCCATGGCTTCCACCTGAATCATTAATCCTAATCCATCTCTCTTTTCTCATTCTCTGCATAAAAAATCGCCCTAATTGGCTTGGCACTGATAGAATATTTTGATTGAATAAATAAGTATAAAGCATAAGCGCCCCTCCCATTCAAGTATCAGAAAGATGGCGGCGGCGGCTCCGGGGCAGCTGAATCTGGAGGAGTCGCCTTCATGGGGGTCTCGTAGCGTTGAATGCTTCGAGAAGCTTGAGCAAATTGGTGAAGGAACTTATGGGTTAGCTTCCTTTTTTTATTAAAAAAAAGAAAGATTGCGTCTTTTACTTATTATTTGGTTTTTTTTTTGAATTTCAAGAGTGAAAATTTACACGTCACGATTTCTTAGGTCGTATGGTGAATTTAGATTATTATTGTTTTGTGTAATTTTGAATTGCATTGTTAATTGATATGGTTGTTTACTTTTTCCTTGTTTTTTGGTTGGGGGGTTATATATCATATTGATATTTGGGAACTTGTTCTGTTGCCTTGTTTTATCTTTGGTCGAGTTTTTGTGCGTTAGTTTTTGGGTATTTTATTCATCTGTTGGGGAGTTACTAGTTTTTAGGGGCCATCCACGAATTTTCTTTAGCTATCTTAGAGGGTCACAGAGTATATAAATATCCAGTTATCTATGCATGAGAAAGTACCAGGCTGTCAATGCCAGATGAGACCAATGCTGTCCTATTCCATTTAGGACTGTATTAGAAGTTAACAGGTTTTTGTCATCAGAAAAGTTTGGAGATAATGAAGTTCTTTGTTAAATTGTTAATTTGTAGTAATCAAGAGTCAAAGATTAATTATCCAATGTTGTAACTCGCTAGACTTTGATTATGGAACAATAAGTAATCCAAAGCTGCAAAATTTGGTTTTGGTGATACTGTTCTTTTGTCTCTAGCCTTCATATATTGGTACATTTGGGATATTGGAAATTTTCTTGTTTCGTGTGCTGGGAACGGACACTATGGTTAATTCATAGTCGGTTGACATCTAATTGAATATTAAGATAACTAGCTATTTTGATGTATTGATTGATAATCCCATGCATATGTTGTTCATGAGATCCTAAGATTTTGGATGATTTCAACTTCACTCACTTGTCATAATTTATGATTGGATTCTTTGTTTAGCAAAGAGTTTCTGTAAGAAACTTGCTGCAAGTATCTTAATACTGATGTTTCAATTAAACTTTTCTGGACTAGTTGGTTGCCCAATCTCATAACATTTCCATACCTTCTCACAGTCAAAGAAATTCATCTTTAGATAATCTTTTTCCTCTTATAAAGTTGAAAGCAATGATATTATTGGCAAAGAGTTCTGAAGACTCAATATCATGTTCATTTTGCCGACTATAGGATCCCTTAGTGTGTTTAAGGAACTGAGAAATCCATCTTGAGCGACACAAGAGCAGCCTCAAAAAAAAGAACAGGAGAAAAAAAAAAGCCCTCCTTAAGCAAAAAAGGAAAAGAAGAAAACATGTCTTCCTAAGCCGAGAATACAGTGTAATCAGAAGTTTGTAAGCTTCCCTTCACTAATGGATCTTCTTCAAGGTGATCTTTTTCTTCTCTGAAGAGGGTATAGATATCCTTTGCCTAAAAGAAATGACATACCTGTTGTGGAGCCTTGACAAATCATGCTTCGTGAATATGATCAAACTATTTATGTTGGCATTATGCCCTAGTAATCGTTTAAGTTTTTCTACATACAATATCAACTGCTTTAATTTGGTAGTTGCACACTAATTATAAAATAATGCATCAGCTATCATTTTTTAAGAGTTTAATGTGGCTAGATTAACAAATTAACTTGGTATTCCTAATAGTTGATGGTATTGAAGCTGTCAGTTTGGATTTTCTTTCTAAAATTTTGCTAATTGAATTAAAGGCATTCAGATAGATATCAATTAGGATAAAGTTGAAATGTTTTCTTGTCTCTAGCAAGGTTTGAATGTTATGATTCATACCTACTTGATTGAAGGATGTGGTCATTGTGTTGATAGCTAAACAATTTTTTGAGCTCAGTATCTTGTTTTTGCAGTAAGGGTCATACAAAGCACACAACAATCTTCTTAAGTTAACTTAGCTTTATTCTTCATACTCCCCTATTTAGCAAAGAGGCAAAGTCTATTGTTTTTTGTGATCTATGAGCCAATGTGTTGGATGCATGATTATCATTTGTCGAATGCTATTAAGGTTATCAGATTAACTTCTGCTTTATCGTCTGTAGTGTTAACATCCTTGCTAACATCTGTCTAATGACTAAACGACTTGGTTGCACTAAAATTTTTGGCCTTTTTAGTTGTGTTTTGTTAGATTTGCTTTTGATGGTTGTAAAGGTTTCCTTCCTTCTCTTTTCTTTTCTTTTTATTTTATATTTTTTCTTTTTATTCCATGATTTTTCTTTTGCCTCTCAAATTTCCAGCCAAGTATATATGGCCAAAGAAAGAAAAACTGGAGAAGTTGTTGCGTTAAAGAAGATACGCATGGACAATGAAAAAGAAGGGGTATTGTTATTTTAGTCAGTTTCTTATTTTCTTTAGCTTATGTCATTTTAATTTCCTTAGCGGATTAATGGATATGCCTCCTCTTTTCAGAACGCTAACGACTAAATTCTGATTTTTTTTTTCTTGCAGTTCCCTATAACTGCCATTCGTGAAATAAAAATTCTAAAGAAGCTGCAGCATGAAAATGTTATTAAACTGAAAGAGATTGTGACCTCTCCTGGTACTCATCCTTCTCCATATGTTCAGAGTGGTTATTTAATTCATAAACATCGAACATTTACCATATGTTTTGTTGTCTTACGTATAACAAACTCTTTTTCAGGTCGCGAGGCAGATGAGCAAGTGAATCATGGTAACTAGACGTGCAGAAAATTTTCAAGTTTGTGTTTCCTGTTTCTGTGAGAATTCAATGACCCTAAACTCCCAAATACTGAAATCGCATATGGTATTTTATTTTTGAAATGCAGAAGGTAATAGATACAAAGGCAGCATTTACATGGTTTTTGAGTATATGGACCATGACTTGACGGGACTTGCTGATCGTCCTGGACTGAGATTTACAATTCCACAAATCAAAGTATGTAACCTTGGACAAGGAGGATTTACTCTTTGTAATGAGCATCTGTCACTTTTTTTTTGTCAATCCATCACTTAGCATTGTTCTAATAATATGTTTTTCTTAGTGTTATATGAAGCAGCTGCTTACTGGCCTTCATTACTGTCATCTCAATCACGTGCTTCACAGAGATATCAAAGGTTAACCTTTTTATTCTTTTCTAAACATATTATCTAGGATTTCAGGTGTGCATATGATGCTATGTTCTGTTTTTGGGTTTGGCAGGCTCCAATCTGCTCATAGATAATAAGGGAAACCTGAAGCTAGCAGATTTTGGGCTAGCACGATCATTCTCCAATGATCACAATGCCAATCTCACAAATCGAGTAATTACTCTCTGGTACAGGTAATTAGACCAAATAGCAGTCGAAGGATGATGATTTTCCTTATAGCTGGACCATGTCTTTGATATTATAACTTGATTTTCAATTAAGAAAATTTATTCTTCTATGTATTGAGCAGACCTCCAGAGTTGCTTCTTGGAGCTACGAAGTATGATTCAGCAGTAGACATGTGGTCCGTTGGCTGTATTTTTGCTGAACTTTTGCATGGAAAACCAATCTTACCTGGAAAAAATGAGGTTAGGCATACACCTCGAGTTGTTGTACTCTTTTTTTGGCCATTTTTTCATTATATTTTCTTTAAGAAAAAATCTGTCTTATCTTACTTTTTGAATTGTATTGTCATATCTTATTTATCTGTCAAGAAATTTTGGAAGAGTTAAGGAGATGGTGTTTTGTCTTTTTCTTACAATTGCTTCATGAAACGAAAGAAAAACTGTCTTATCTTACTTTTTGAATTGTCATATCTTATTTATCTGTTAAGGAATTTTGGAAGAGTCAAAGTAGATGGTGTTTTGTCTTTTTCTTACAATTGCTTCATGAAACGAACTTGGATGATTGTCATGATTATTTATTAGATTGGTTCAATTTGTATACACTAGGAGAAAGAATAGGGAGCATTGTTGGCTTTTGGAGCATCCCAAAAGCTTTTTACTTAATAATTATCCCATGTTGAAAGCTTTTTACTTCCATTTAACTTTTTTAGCACATCAAAATCCTGCTAAAAGTTGGTTGCATCTTTAAGGGCTGAGTCATCTGTCATATAATCTTCTGTGTACCTATAAGAATGAAACCTGATCTTTACCATACCAAGATCTTTGAATGCCACGAAATAGTGCTCAAGCTTGGAAACCCAGCACTCATTATGCTGTCTAAGCATGGAATCCCAAGCAATTATCTGATGGTACACTTCAGAGTTGCATGAACTGGTTGAGGCAAATGCTGTTTGGCCCTTTACTATGCCCTTTCTTCAGATTGCTTTTGTGAACTACTAATTGCAACAATACTGTTTGAATGAGTTCAGGATTACAGTTTTTGTAAGGGATTTGGCAATGAGTTTTTTTTTTTGCGAAGTTTTCGCGTACAAGTTTTTTTAACAGCTTTAGCTACAGTAACATCAAAAAACTTCTTAAAGATTTTAAAATACGCACCTCAAAATACCCAAAAACACACGAAAAATTTCCCTTCTTTCCTTTCTTCTTCTTCCTCACCCACCTCCTTTTTTTTTCTTCCTTTCTTCTCTCTCTCCTCCCTCCCTCTCCTCCTCCCCTTATCTTCCCCTTTTCCGCTCCCCCTTCCCTTCTCCCCCTCCCTCTCCCTCTCCCCAGCATGACCCTGGTCGCATGACCTGGTTGCGCGACCAGGGTCGCCCAGCTGGCAGTGGGGAGGGAGGGAGAAGGAGATCAATGGTGTGGGGGAGAAGATGAGGAGAAAAAAGAAAAGGGAAAAAAAGGAAAATTTTTTGTTTGGTTAAAAAGGAAAGTTTTTACACACCTCAAAAAGTTTTTCTACAAATTCTACGGTAAAGTTTTATACAAACACCTAAAAAACTCACTTGCCAAAAGGTGCCATAATAAATTCTCCTTCTCTCAAACTGAAGGACTTATCAAATCGTGGGAAATGACATGATAGTTCAAAGTGGCAATGTAAGATAAAAAGGAAAATCAGGAGAAAAATGCATTTGACTGAACTTTTTACTGAATAGTTTGTCTACTGGGATAATAGAAGTTTCTCTAAATCTGTATCCATATAGTTTCACAAATCACGTTATTAGTTCCTGTGTGAACCTCTTAGCAAGTGGATTTTTTCTTCTTTTACAGCTAAATCAATTAATTGATTTAGTTCTTTCATAAACTATGATTTTTGAACTATCTGGGAGACACCAATCAAGTGATCTCTAAGCTGCTCTGTGTATACATAATGTAGTTTTACTACACCTGAAGCTAGCTTCTTGGTTATGCTTTATTTGGTTTGGTCTTAGCTATTATAATGTATGTGCTTATTGTTATTGGAATGCACCCATCAGAAAGGAGGAATTGATCTCCTAGTTATCAAGACAAGTCAAATTGGACTATTGTTAACCATGTAAAGTTCAAATGTAATCCTTCTCATTTTTATGGAGGAGAGCATTTAAAATTGTCATCTCTCCCTTACTCCATTTCTTTGAGGGTTTGCTGGATAGGAGAGATGGGGTGCACCTGGGGTAGGAGATCATGTTATAAAGAGGCTCGTAATAGTTTTAGTTGCTTAACCTAACTGATGGTTCACTAGTTTCGATGCACATTTCCTGTGTTACATTGTAGAGTTGGCATGGAGAAGTGCTATGAAGCCTTGATCACTCCATTGTATTTCGGTTGAGCAACTATGTAATTGGTTGCATATTGCAGGTAGACACTTAGGCTTTAGAAAAAGACAAAAATATACTCTTCTTTAAAAGATTCTCTGATTATTTGGAGAAAAAGTAGTATGACTCCAGATTAGTATCACTACCAACGTACAATAAGTTAGAAGGCCACTGCTTCTAAGTCGAGAATAGTTTCACTATTTATTTTGGACACAAACGGGAGATTTTTCCTTGGTGTAATTGCTTCAAACTTATCAGAGTAATAAATGGTTTGAAGCATTTGGTCTCTTCCTGCTTACTTTTTTTCTTTTTTCTGTTTCATGGGTTGAAGGGAGCTTATTTCTGTCTTCTGTTTTTAATTTTTAATTGCAGCCTGAACAATTGAACAAGATCTTTGAACTCTGTGGCACCCCTGATGAGATTAATTGGCCTGGTGTTTCCAAGATTCCCTGGTATAACAAGTTCAAACCAGCAAGGCCAATGAAGAGGCGAATTAAGGAGGTCTTTAGACAGTTAAGGAAACAGTTTTATAATTTTCTGACTATTACTATTTTAAATTGCAGTGCATGTTTGACATTTTGCTTGTGCAGTTTTGACTCCCATGCTTTGGAGCTACTGGATAAGATGCTGTGTCTTGATCCTTCCAAGGTATCTCTCCCAAATGATATGTTTGATTTAGGAAGTGGAATAAAAAATAATTAACTGTTTAGCTTTTGTAACACTAGTTGCAGTAATAGTTCCAATCGTTTTTCTAGGACAATGAATCTTGCTTGTGAGAGATAGCATAGTGCAGCACTAGTGCTCAAAAAACCTTACAAAAAAAGGACTGCAAACCTCACGAATAGCATTTTTGGCAGTTCCTTTGCCCAAAAATCATTTCTAAAAAGTTTGAGCGTTTGTGGATGGACATTAACTCACTGGCATTTGCATGTTGAAATATGGGTGTCTTTTGTAAATCTTCTTGTGTTTCCTAGAGCTGATTCTTAAATTATTCTGCTTAGCTGTGCTAATGTATTTTCTCTTTAACTTGTACTGTTCTTTGACGTTACTTCTGCCTGAACTTTTTTAGAGAATATCAGCACAGGAGGCACTGGTTGCTGAGTATTTCTTTGTGGACCCGCGGCCATGTGATCCAAGGAGGTATGTCCTATGAACTGTCACATAAAGTTAGCAATATAACCATTTGAAAACACCCATTAGCCAAATAAAGCCTTTTGAGATCCGGTTGTTTGCATGCTACAGTTTGAGGATCATATGCATTGTTTATTCTAAACTGAAACACATTTTGCTCAAAAATAGGAAGACAGGAAGTAGAAAGTAAATTGGGTAGTAATGGTGCATTATACTTATTTGATCAGGGAAGAGGAGTCAAAGGGGTTATGCAAGCTATCTGCCCTACCTTTTCCTCTTCTTCCTGCCTCTGAAGATTTTGGAAGATGAAGAGTGAGTGGACCCTTGTCATTTTATGAATTAAGAAATATAAAGTACTAGTAAAAATAGGGGTTACAGCATGAAGGTGAAAATTTTTTAATCTCCTAACTTAGTATTGCACCCTGCTTTCTTCTCCTTGGGAGTCAATTCCACTGACCAAACATAAATGGGTAGATATATATTGTTTCAATGTGAAACACACTTGTTTCCAACCACCTTCTTGCCAGAATTAATTATATCTATGTGGTCTCATGCTAGTTTCAAAGAAACTTCTTGGTGATTACAGTATCCAATTCCAATAGATTTCCATCCTTAGTCATGTGAAAAGCTGTTTTCATCTCTTCATTGCAGTTTGCCAAAGTATGAATCCTCACATGAGTTCCAGACAAAGAAGAAAAGACAACAGCAACGACAAAATGAAGAAATGGCCAAAAGACAGAAGGTGCAACACCCACATCAACATGCTCGCCTGCCTCCTATCCAACAATCTGGGCAAGCAAATCCTCAACATTGGGCTGGACCAAATCATCCTATGAATCCATCCCAACCGCCACTATCATCAGGACCCAGTCATCATCAGTATGGGAAGCAGCATGGTCCTCCGGGAGGCCCTAGTCGATACCCTCCTGGCGGAAACCCTAGCAGTGGCTTTTATCCAGATCGTGGGAGCCAAGGAGGAAGTTATGGCAGCGGTGCATATCCAGCCCAGGGAAGAGGACCACCGTACCCTGGAAGCAGTTTGCCTCCGGCTGCTCAACGAGGAGCTGCCAGTGGATATGGTGCTCCTCCTAATTACTCCCAAAGTAATCAGTATGGAGGCTCTGGTGCTGGCAGACCCAATTCCATGGCTGGTAACCGGAACCAGCAGTATGGTTGGCAGCAATAGAGTTGTAGATCAAAGTAGGAGCTAGATATCAGGGAGTCAGTAGAGTTGCCAGCAAAGGTAAAGATTGCACATGACTGCAGCCACAGGTTTCTCATAAGAGGTATGGCTGATTAAGTCAAGATCCTGTACAGTACAGATGCTGTTTCATTGACAGTTAATTTTTTTTTTTTATTGAAACTGGTTGAAGGATTCTCTTCATCAATCAAAGGTACAAAATTTTGTTGGTTAGACATTTTGGAGTATGATTTTTCCTTTGGAATAACAGATGAAGCCCTTTTTTAATTTTTTTTAAATTTTTTTTTTTTAAATTTTTGTCTAGATGTTCTTGTGTTTTTCACTTAAAGAATCAAATCATAACCATCTTTAATGTTATGATTTGCTTACATCTCATTCCTACATGGGATTCCTCCACATTGGGAGTTCTGTCATGTTCCTCCTCCAATTTGTTTGGAAAGCAATTATGTCTGCAAGTTATAAAGAAGTCGTACATCCTCTTTGTAAAACTAGTATGGAAACCTTAAAAGCTAGTAAAAGAGAAAAGGAAAAAGGAAAGCAGAAATCGAGCAGGAAAAGGACAGGCTGAAAGGAGTTCTAGTGTACTACTAATCCTAGAATTAGGAACAATAAATGAATGATGAAGCTGATCTTGCAGGATTCGGTGAACCCTTTTTATGCGACTAATGCTGTTACTTTTTATACAGTTTGGATGACAAAAAACTAACAAAACAAATAAGAAATCAGAAATGAATTAATAGGTTTGTTATATCCTTTCTATTGATACAAAATGAACATAAGTTTTTCTTCTTTTTTTTTTTTTGTTTTGGGGGTTAATCTGAGCTTATCCAGTGTTTGACTTGATTTAGTGTATGATCATGTTTTCACTAAAAAATATATTTCAGTTTACGAATAATACTTCATAAAACTGCATGTTGTTTTACAAATAAATGATGGTTTCAAACAAAAACACACACACACACACACGCACGCACAAATGCTACCACATTTCCTGATTAATTTGTAGGACTCTCACATTCTAACTGCATGTTGTGCTTGATGCCACTTTTATGTTTTCATTGCTCTCGCATTCTATTCTTGCCCTCGTACTTTTCACTTTTTTTTTGCTTTATAGAAGCTACTTTCTCAGCTTTATCAACGTCTTTAATTTTTTTCTTGCAAAGAGCAGTAAGTTGCATTAGAACTGACGCCAAACAATTGGTCTGATATGGTATACTGGATATTGTTTTTCTTTCTTTCTTATATTCTCCCGACTGCTTATCACAAGTATTCTTTCATCAAATTAATGATTGTTGCTTAAGAGAACGAGATACACTTCAGTTTCGAGAAATTAACACAAAAATCTCAAGACACCAATGAATTTCCTTTCCTTCTTTGGTAGTCGCATTAGGATCAGAAGATGATCATGGAGAAGATTCTTAACGACAATAGACATTAAGGCATGGTATAACTCCTGAATTTACCAGGAAGTGAAAGACAGGTAATACAGGTCATTTTAGCTCCAGGATGCATCATTCAGTCTAGTGAAATCCAAATCTTCAGCCAAAAATGCACAATGTCCACTAACACAAATGAGGAAGATAGCATCCCTCTTTTTTCCCACCTTGACAAATGTAAAATGAAAGATACAAAGGCAGACAAATGAAAACGCCCCTGTAGCTGTGTGTTTGATAGAAGTGTATAAATTTGGAAGTCTTTCCTCCACCTAACTAATAAGAGCACAAGAAGTATCATGATCCAGGGCCTTTATGAAAGATATGGGCTCTAGCCAGCAATCAGCATCAACTTCCGCAAGATTATTATTAGGAGGATTAACTTTTACGTTTACTCCACCTCGAGAACTATCTTCATGAACTCATAAACAAAATAGCTTATCGCTGCTGATGGCAGAACCTGAACGTTAAAGACATAAACTACATCTATCAGCCAGTCAATAAGCAGAACCAGTAGATTACAATTCCAAGACAGACAGAGGCATATGCATAAGATACCTAATCATAGCGAAATAACAGATCAAGCTCAAAATCAACTATTTTTACAAGTGGATGGAAGCCAAGCAACAGCTGTGTAAAAACTACAAGTAATTGATAGATTACCTGGGTGTTTCAAAAGTCAAGCACAATCAAGTTGGGGAATCAACTTGACTGCATGGATGATGCACTGCCTCAGTTTATCAACATTCAATCAGAAAATCTAGAATCTTCCTGTGCAGTTTAACAATAGCAAACTATTTGATTACATTCATCCGGGTATTACTATTCTATATATTTGTGAAGTATGCAACGATCCTAATGCCTCATTTAGCATGGGATTAAAACTCCGCAATTTGCTTAATGGTTTAAATTAACCATGAAAAATGACCACATTCAGTTGGGAACAAAAATAAACTCTTGAACCTACTATAGCCACTAACTTTTACGTGCATCTTAACATCAATCTTTATCATCTACATTACATATTTGTAATACTGCCTAAACAGTAGAATTGAAGCAAGAAGTACAACAGTTACCTGTAGCAAGCTAGGAATCAGCCCCGCATAAAGTGCAGGAATACCACCTTGCTCTACTATCTTCATGCAAGTTCCCAAAGCACTCATTTTTGTAGCTCGAACTTGCATCTGAAGCTGTCTTCTAACTACTTCAAAAGGGTATGTAGCAGCTTCAGAACAAGCACCAGCAATCGCCCCATATATTAGTGTCCTCACAGGACCCAACTCCAGTTGTTCTAAAGCATTCAATTCTTCACCTTGTTGTTTCATATGTTGAAGCCGTTTCCGACCTTCTGGTGAATGCAGATAAGCAGATTTTAATATGTCATAAACTCCATAGAAAACAGCGCCTGAAGGAGCCATGCTTACGATGGATGGAAGTAATCCCTTGTAAAGAGAAAAAAACCCCTCAGTCTGGACCATGTGACGAAAAGCACCAATTACACCGCCCAAGGCTTCCCCTCCAGGAGCTACCATTACAGTCCTGATCTGTGAAAGAGAAGAACATTGAATCATGTGCAGAGAGTGGCATAAATTGGAGAAAAGCTATTAGAAGTACTTTTGCTGCTTAGCATAAGTGCCATAATCAAATTATAATAGCCACGTAGGAAGAATTCAGACTTTGGCTACCACATGGAAATTGTTTACATGGTAGATATCGTTTAAGGCCCCAATTACTGCCTCTAAATATCTACAACTCATAACCACAGCAGTGAAGTATGTCCAGATAAGAGTCGATACAGAATTCGGACCTTGAGGTATGCCTGCTGAAATTACTAGTCTAATGTCTTCATGTTCACAGCACTAGTTGGTGTTAACAGAGGGATAACATTACTTTCATTTTGATACGTACAGCAAATTCCCAGAATGCTAAAATGCAACTTACAGTGTCCATAGGTATGCAGAGCACAGTAGCAGTGATTCCAGCAGCAGCACCAGCAACAAACCTTTCAAAATGTGTTGTCTCCTCATTACCAGACATTCTAAGCAACTGATTTCTGTAAGTATCATAAGCATAAAAGTTGACAGCCTTAAAGGGAGCTGTCCGCAAGATGTTAACAAAATTTCCTTTCCAGAATCCTTTCAGCCCTTGAGTGGCAGCAATAGTTTTGATCAGCTCAAATAGATTTTTCTGTTCACCACGAACTATGTATTCCAGCTTTAGTCTCTCAAGTGGTGCCACAAAAGTTCTGATATATCAGAGCAGAAGAGCAAAGAAATGAATTCATAACTAGGTAAACGAATGATCCACTAAACTAAAAAGGACAAAATACATGAAGGGCTACAGAATGATTCAAAAGAAAGGACTGCTTGGTGACAACTCGCTTATGGTTCTACGGAAATTTCAAAGAGTTGAGTACCTAAGACTAAGAGCTCACTTTACAGACCTTTCACAATATCAGACTGGAATAACATGGACAAGAAAGCAGAGAGGAGAAAAGGCTTGAAATCTAAACTAGGTGTCCAACTTGAACCGGTGCAAGACTTGGCAGCTTTCAGATCCTAGGTGAACACCACCAATAATGCCATGGTCAAATTTATGCATAATAACTATAATCCTAGATTGTTGAAACTTCACATTTGGGTCATCCAAACTAATCTTTGGACACACAACTAACAAAGTTCAAGGATTTGAATTTTATACATGTATCTGGCAAATGATATAAGTTCATTAAGCTATGTCAAACAGAACAGCATCTGTTTAAAAGTCGCAAACTTTATGCTGTCAAACAGACGCAACAGAGCCAATCAAATGCTAAACTACTTAAAACTGATCATGAATCAATGCCAAATTAACTAGTAGACAATTTAACCGAGAGTACGCACTAGGTAAATCCAGCCTTGTGCAATAACCTGCCAACCACACTGAGGGGTACGATGCACTAGGTAAGCCCTGTGCGACGGGCGGATGTTCCAAGAGACGTTTGAACCTGGGTTGGCAGAAAGATGACACCAACTCTACCATTTTGGCCAATTAACCCCTTTTATCCTTAAATCCTTCGTAAAACAATACCCACACAAAAATGTAGAAGATAATATACATATTACACCAAAAAAAATTGCATTCTTTATTGGTTCAACAGAAAATTGCATCAAATTCAATCACAATCAATTCAAAGAAAATTTATAGCTGCCATGTGAACAATTAATAAAAGAAAAGTGACAGAATTTACGGAGTCCAGCATTTGAGCTAAGCCGTATGAGAAAAAATTCAGAATTGTAAATCTATACCCTGTAACAGAAAAAGAGAAAGGATGGGGGAAGAAAAAGTTCACCTAGAAACCATAGCAGCCACAGCACCAGCCCAAAGATGCTTAACAGTATTCAAAGCCTTTCCTTTTACTTCTCTCACCTTAGATTCGCCTTCTTTTTTCTTCTCACCTTCTTCAAACGCCGGCGTTTCACACTCCACACTCTTGCCTGCATCTTGCAACAAGACCTCACCAATCCCTTCTCCACCTTCACCTCCCTTCACAGTCGAAAGCGTCACTGACAAAAACCTCCCGCTTCCGCTGCCGCCACAAGCAACGATCCCTCTCCGGCGACTCCTCCTCCTACTCCTCCTATCACCACTACATGAAACTCCGACCAGACTAAGAGAATTCGACGAATTGTTCGGATTCACTAATGAAACAAATGATGACGGAATCGAAGGTTCCAAAAATAATCCACCACCGATAAAACCATTCAAATGCAGCGAAAAATCGTGGGCTTCAGCTAAATACTGTACTTGTTTTGATTCTAATGAGTTCGCTACTAAATTCTTGAGCCAAACTTC